TGACTTCAATGAGAGGAAGGTGGATCGGATGCTGGGTGCCTTGCCAGTGGTGAGGGAGGGCGTCCATCTCACAGTTTTAGGACTGGGACCCAGGTGGTTCTGTTTTATCACTTAATAATGTCCTGCCAGCTGCACCTCCCTGAAAAGACCACAGCAGGAGGTGGAAGGCCCCTGGCAGTTAGTGATGTATTTTGTGCATACCATTTTCATTTTGATAGAAAAAGATTCGTCTCTTTTCCTGTTTCATAGGCCTTGTCCTGGCTCATGAAACAGTGACACACAAACCACTCAGTGTAAAATCTGCCTTTCTATAATCTGGGAATTTTCATGGTTGGAAAATGGCTTGAGTTTCATTTCAGCCCTGCTCTGATGGTATGTTTTTTGGTTCACCCCTAGTAACTTTGTATCTGGTTCTACCCTTCCCACCTTCATTGGACGAGGTGAAAACTGTGCTCCCTGCAATGTGATATCCCTAAGGTTATACGCAGCCCCACCTCTGACTAGTGGGGGTTACAAGGAAACAGGGATTGGGGCCAAATTATCCCATAACGGCCTACTGCAGAGGTTCGTGCACCTTCCTCAGAAGCATCTGGTTCTAGCCACTGTCAGAAACAGGACACTGGAGTAGATGGACCATAGGTCTGATCCACTCTGGCAATTCCTGTGTTCCTGCGGGTCGAGAGGTTGGTGAGATGCTGAGAGGCAGATATGCTCAGTTACCACTGGAGAAATCTCCCTTGGCCCATTTCTGCAGGAGAAGGGCAGTTCAGCGCCTTCATTATCCGGTGTATTGGAGGGAGGGGGCTGTAATGAGATCTTGTCTTAGCTGATGTAGAGGGGAGAGCTCAAGGATGTGTGGAATCATGCTAGAAATTAACCTTGTTTTCGGACGGACACCAGCCTCGCTTCCTGTGTGCTGAGCCCTGGCTCGGTGATTATGAGCATTAGGTGATGTAGGTCAGTTGCTGTGAATTTACACCACACAGGAGAACACAGGCATGAAAGTGTATCTGCCAGGACATTCTCAGGCAGGGCAGGTGACTCCCACATAAATAATGCTACTGGGATTTTAACCTCTGGCTGCCAGAAACCCGAGCGGTGGGAAAGGCAGTACACAATACCTGTTTGCTTTGCTTTTCCCTGCTTCCACGCCTCACACGCTGATTCTCATTTTGCTTAAGCTGGTCTGCCTGGCTGAAAGTGATGTTACTTCACTGATTTGGTGGGTCATAAGTTGCAGCTGAAAATCCAGAAGCTCAGATTCTTCTGAGCCTTAAACATAGTTTAGAAGAAATAGAGAGAGGTAAAAAAGAGAGAGAGAGAAAGAATTTCCAAGTTAAAGGATTTGTGCATCTCAAGGGAATCATCCAAAGCTCATTGAAGTTAATGGGAGTCTTTCCATTGACTTCACTGGGTTTTGGACCGGGCTGCGATGGTGCAAGGACATACACACTTGTTCAGACAGCTTTTGCCCTGAACAACAATGGCTCTACCCACAAAAGACTTGATTTTCAGTGGTGCAGAGCCCCTACAGTGCCCATTGATCTCAAGCAGAATTCAGGGTGCTCAGTGCTTTGGCAAATGCCACCCATTGTGATAATGATGGTTTGATGAAATTGTGAACAGTGACTTCAGTTCCAGGTGCCCTTGTACAATGTTCTGACCTTCTTATTTATCTGACCCAGACAAGAGGGGGTTGTATTTCCCCAAAGACTTGAATTTCAAGATCATTTTATAGCCAAAGCACCTTATATACAAGCAAAGCGCTGTAAGATGAATTTCCCATATCTTTCCTCCACGTGCAGGAAAGAGGTGGTGCTGGTTTCATTAGCAGACCGGAACAGAACTTCCCCAAAGTTCTAAGGTGTTCAGATCTGAGGTTGTGGTTTGACCCATTATAAAGCTACCCTAAAAGCCAGCCCCAAGGCATGAATCCAGACTTGAGGCCTCTCCTTTCTCTACCTCCAACACTTTGTTCCAGAGGTTTGGTTTGGGCCCATCACTAATTTTGGGCCCATCACCAAGTTTAATGTTGCGAGGGATGCAGTTGTCCAATCACAGAATCATAGAAATGTCGGGCTGGACGTGATCTTGAGAGGTCAACTAGTCCAGCCCCCAGCGCTGAGGCAGGACCAATGAGAAGGGGGAGTGGCCTCTTTCCTGAATGAGAGGCACACTTGCTTTCTCTGACAATTGCAAGATGTGTAGGACGCAGTAGATCAAGTAGGAATCTTTTTTCCAGGACCTGTACTAGCAGCACAACACATGTAAGCAGCGGCATGATGGTTTCTTTGCCTTTGGCTTTCTCTGGCTGCAGATAGCCTTATTCAGGAGGATTTTTAGGACCCAATCTTTGACTCTGGCCAAATCAGGCCGCTCCCTTTATATGTTGCACTTGAGACTAATGCTAGAGCTATACCAGAAAGGGACACTTTGCTAAGCACATATGTACTGCTTGCTGTAGTCCCTGGCTATCGACTATCTCAAGTCTTGAATCCAGAATATTGAGAAGCCTCTGCTGAAAACCTGCTACCCATAATCTATAGGAAGAAAATCCCCATTAGAATGTAATATAAACATCTCACAACAGTTGTGGATGCAGCTTGCTTCTGGGTGTCAACTGCATTCCTCATTACTGGGAGGCACAAGAGTAAAGTCTGCATTAATTACTAAGCGTCTCAAAGTGCTTTATAGGCATTAATTAAATCCTGGGAGGATTTTACAGATGGGGAAATTGAGGCACGGAGGAGCAAAGTGACTTGCCCCAGGTCACACAGTGTGCCAGTGGCAGAGCTAGAGGAGGCCTTCCTCACTCTCTATCCCCTGTTTTAACCACACAAACACTCATCTTCCTCCAAGAGGTTGGCTTCATCCACCCAAAGAGTGCTTAACCCCATAAAAAAGGCATCATCTGGGAAGATTGCTGCTGTCAGAAAGTGCAAATGCCATGCTAGAAAAAAATAAACTATAATAAATGGTTACAGTGCCAGCTACATCTTGACTGTTACCCTGCATTTGTGGCCAGCTTTATTAAAACGTTGTTTCCTGAGAAACACGCTGTACTGACCGAGCAAGAAAACAGGGCAATCAGAATGTATGAGCTGCCATCACAAGTCACTAATAAAACTATCTTTGAATGAAAGAGATTCTCTGGATAGTCCACCCTCCCACAGCCAGTATCAGGAGAAAACGCCATACTGTCACCCAACGGCTGAGGCTGGTATTCCATCATTAAGTGCATTTCTATCAGCCCTAAGTGTTCATTTCAGTACAGTTCCTGTTGAATGGAGCATAGCTATTCATCTAAACGCAAGGATGATCTGTATCATATGGAAACAGTCCAGACTTCTCACATAAGCTACCCAGATCGTAGTTTTCCCTCCCAGCACTGTATCTTTCTATAGTGGGAAGCAATAATATTTCCAGGGAAGATTTAACACAAAAAAGCAACGTTGCTCATAGACAGGCATCATCTTTCCCAGCAGAAAAAATTACCATAGGATGCTCACACTGCCTGCTGCCTTCATTAATCTATTTAATGAAGTCAGTCCATCAAATGGTTAGAGCAGAAGGCAGAGAATCGAGATGCCTGGCTCCTATTTCTGTCTCTGTAACTTACTCACTGTCTCAGCTTGAGCAAGTGTGTTGATCTCTCTCTGTACCTTTGTCTCTGTGTTTAATGGGGAAGCTCATTTCTATACAGAATGTTGAGTCCCCCGCATGAATAGTGCCATGTAAGTGCAAAGCAGTATTAGTTCATCAGTCCTATTTTCATTTTTTAAGGAATCCTTCAAATAATTATGCAGTTTAATATTTTTATTAATATTGATTTTATCTGTTTCGATTTTTTCTTTGTATTAGGTACGGTGCTCTTAGCTTATGGCAAATGAGAATCCTGAAAGAGAAGGATAACCTTATTATATATGCTGGGGTGGGCATGTTATTCCTTACATAAATCTGGATACATTTTATAGTCTGGAACTAGAGTATAATACTTCTCTTTCGTGCTGTCATTGCATCAATAGATCTTGTAAGACTTTTGGGGGGAACATAGACAAACATTTTAGTAGAAACATTCCAACCATAAACTTCTTAAGCAACAATGTAACACCAGGCAACCACACTACAGTCAGCGTTCTGAAAACAAATGACTCAAATTTGGTTTTTGCAGCTTTTCGTGTCACCGAGAACTTTTTGATGGTGCAATTTCCTGCTGTTTTCATTGTATCTATACACAGTAGCCTATATCTGTATAGGATAGGATAGGATAGAACAGTACTTGCACTTCTATAGCATATTTTAGTACAGGGTCTCTAAGTACTTTACAGACAGTTAATTCAACCTGCCTTCATAACTCTGGGAGGAAGGTATATATTCCCCTTCATTTTACATATGAGAAAACAGAGGCACAGGGTGTTAAAGTGAATTTCAAGTCAGAACCCAGAAATCCTGACCCCTCAGTCCTTCCTGTGCTCTAACAATTAGGCATCACTTCCTAGAAGGAGTAGCACCTATCGGAAGTATTTGCAGTCTCACAGGTTGCTGTCCTCCCACCCTGTGGTTTTCCTATATGACTCTGTAAAATGTGGGTGGCTTGACCATGAGATGTGTAAACCAGGAAGTTGGAAGGTAAGCAAGGGCGAGGTTCTGGCTTTGTCTGTATGAGCCACACATTGGAGCTAATCAGGCACATCGAGCACGAAGGTCACTGTGACCTCCAGGAAGAAATGCCAGAGTATTCACAGAGGCTTGGCACCTCCTCATTTGGGGATGCTGGCCGAAGCCAGAGCTAGAATTGAGTTTGGGCCAGACTCCGACTTTCACTGACTTCGCGCACTCCCTTCTCTAGAAAAAAAGTTTTGTCTTGAGAAAAAACAGACAGGGCTTGCTGCCGGATTTTCCTCCTTTCCTCCTTGTATTTTGATTCAGGAGGAACTGCAGATGCTCCGAGGGAAGAAACTGTCCATACAGAGCAGACTTCAGGATCCCGACTACCGGTGGCAGCTGCGGATGAAGTTTCTAGAGCAGGCAAAGAGTTACATAGGTGTGCCCTACGCCAAGAAGTATCACGAGCCGGGCAGTAAGTGCAGACCCTTTCAGCCCATCCTTGTAGTATTTTGGCACTTCACATTCCAGTTGAAAGTGCCATCCAGAAATGCAGAGGCAGCACAAATCAAAGAAACGATGGAGGGGGAAAAAATACCAAAACTGCGAAAAGGTCCAGTTCAGGTTTGGTTCCAGAAATGGGTGGAGATTCTAGGACGTGGCATTGAGGCCTGTAGCTGGGAATTATGGTTTTGTCCACATTAAGAACATAAGAATGTAAGAATGGCCCTACTGGGTCAAACCAAAGGTCTATCTAGCCCAGTATCCTGTCTTCTGACAGTGGCCAATGCCAGGTGCCCCAGAGGGAATGAACAGAACAGGGAATCAAGTGATCCATCCCCTGTCGCTCATTCCCAGCTTCTGGCAAATAGAAGAACAATATACATTGGTGTGCCTGCCCCTAGACAAAGAATTATTGTGCAAAGCTTCCTCTCGCTGCATCTTTTCTCACAAAGCGACTCTCCTGTCCTCCTGCGGGATAAAAATAGAGGTTCCTTTGTCGTCTTGCTGACCTACTGGTGATGTACTTGCCTTGCTCCCCAGCTCCAGAGTATGAATCCCCACTCTTCCTGGATTGCTGTGGACTAATTCGGAGGGTGGTGCATGACTTAAAATCGGAATTTGGCTTTTGCATCGGTCCAGGAAACCAGGCGTATCAGTACGACACACTCCCCATCACTCTGCCCAGTGAGGAGCACATGAAGCCGGGAGACCTCATCTTCATTTCAGGAACGTACTTCGACCCAGACCGTAATGTCAACAAAGATATCTATCCATCCACCCATCCTCTATGTACCTCTATCTATCCATTTCTCCACCCATCCTCATATGTACTCCCACTCCCTTTCGTATCCGTTCATCCATCGTTACCCATACATACCACCTCTATCTATCCATCCTCATATGTACCCCACATGTGTATCCCCCATCCATCTAATCTCAGAGAGAAGCATACAACACAGCTGGGGGGGGGGAGGGATAGCTCAGTGGTTTGAGCATTGGCCTACTAAACCCAGGGTTGTGAGTTCACTCCTTGGGGGGGGGCTATTAAGGGATCTGGGGCAAAAATCTGTCTGGGGATTGGTCCTGCTTTGAGCAGGGGGTTGGACTAGATGACCTCCTCAGTTCCCTTCCAACCCTGATATTCTATGATACTGTTACAGTAGCTATGAGCCACCACACAGGGCTGTGAATTTGGATTTGAATGATCCAGGTTAAATGAAGTAATAACCCTCCCAAATTTTTACACCTTTCTGGAATTAAACTTAAAACAAACGTTTTGTGAATTCTGAAGATGTGAGTTGGGCTGGTTTTGGCCATTCTCATGACTACCTTTGCAATTCCTGATGGAACCAGACCAGAAAGGCGCTTTTTCGGTGTGGAGATTTTCAGCCATATCTTTCCCAATTTTCAGTGCAATTGTGAGAATTTCACAAAAAGTTGCCAGTTGAAGTTGTTATTACTGGACGGCTGTTTGGTGGCCTGTATGCCATGAGTTTGCTGAGTCTGTTGGACAGGTTTTCACATCACAGACAGCCCCAATCCATTTGGATTTCCTCCTGGGAGTTCTTGGTGGGGGCAGTCTCTGAGGAGGGATGGATGACTGAATGGATATGGAGACTAAACTGCCCTCTCAGCAGCAAGGGTAATCCTTTCTGGTCAGGGCAAGACACACTGATTGAACAGTGACACCGTCTGTCAGTGACAGTTCTATGGACAGACAGTCTCCAAGGCTGTCAGCCCATCACTTCCCAGAATGCAGTTTTAAAGGCAACTTTGAAAAATGCAGTCACTTCCTTGTCATTGCAGGAAGGAGGCAATTCCATGACATTGTCCACGTGGAGATCTGGCTGGGGTCTGGTGAGCGCAGCCTCGGGGCCAGGTGGAAAAGGGGCAGACTGCAGATCTTTGATTCCTACAGGTTTGTCTCTCCCTCCTATGGAGACATGGAATATCACTTCAAGTCCATTGAAACTTGGCTCCAAGGCATCTGTGTCAGGCAAGCATCACTGGCTTTCTTAATATATACAGTACATATCAGCCTGGGATGCCTGAGGCTGGCAATCTCATGATCAAAGAGATATTTTCCATGTCACTTGCCAGGGTTTTTGGTGTGGTTCTGTTCTAAAATGTGACAGGAGAAAATGGCCCCTTCCTATACCAGGGGCCTGCTTCCTGGGCCAATTTCTTTCTTACACTGCAACCCCTTTATTCCACTCTAGAATTGCAAAGAGGTAATAATCACACTACAGTCAGCGTTCTGAAAACAAATGACTCAAATTTGGTTTTTGCAGCTTTTCGTGTCACCGAGAACTTTTTGATGGTGCAATTTCCTGCTGTTTTCATTGTATCTATACACAGTAGCCTATATCTGTATAGGATAGGATAGGATAGGATAGAACAGTACTTGCACTTCTATAGCATGTTTTAGTACAGGGTCTCTAAGTACTTTACAGACAGTTAATTCAACCTGCCTTCATAACTCTGGGAGGAAGGTATATATTCCCCTTCATTTTACATATGAGAAAACAGAGGCACAGGGTGTTAAAGTGAATTTCAAGTCAGAACCCAGAAATCCTGACCCCTCAGTCCTTCCTGTGCTCTAACAATTAGGCATCACTTCCTAGAAGGAGTAGCACCTATCGGAAGGATTTGCAATCTCACAGGTTGCTGTCCTCCCACCCTGTGGTTTTCCTATATGACTCTGTAAAATGTGGGTGGCTTGACCATGAGATGTGTAAACCAGGAAGTTGGAAGGTAAGCAAGGGCGAGGTTCTGGGAGGTCATTGTGTGGCTTAGAACTTCCAGAACATCTCTGCCCTGCTCCCCCTCAAAGCACCCGGGTAAGGGTCATGCCAGAGTAAGGAGATAGAGGGAGGGAGCCTGCTGCTCTCTGGCTTTTCTTGGCTGGCATACCAGCACCTAGGGGAGCGTGACAAACTGGCGCAGCTTAAAGCAGCCTTGAGGCTACTTGGAGGCAGTCTGGAGAAAGAATTGTCCCATTTAGAATCAGGTTATGCAGCCCGGCCCCTCCTTTCCACTAGAACATTGCTCCCTAGAGGCCCCAGAAAACCCCAAGAAACTGTTAGTCCTGGCCAGTGCCCTAAGGACTTTTCCGAATCCTAGCCCAGTCTCTCCTCCTGTTTGATCATGCAGTGAAGCTACAAGGCCCAATTCACAAGTGAGCACAATGCCATTGACTTTCCCCTTTGCACTCCAGTGAACTTGCCCTCAGTGTTAAACTGGGGACATCACATTCACCTTTATGGCAGCAGAGAGGTTATAAACACGGGTTCCTTCAATCCAGGATCAAGCCAGCACTGACCAAACACTAGATCAGAAAGGACTCATGCAGAATGACGTGGCCAGTAGATTTAGTTTTTGTATAAAAGCTTCTTCCCACCCTCCCCCATCACCCAATATATTCCTGTCTCTAAATCTCTCCCTCTTTTTGTGCTAGCCCGGGGTTTCCTTAGCTTCCCACCAAGTGTGGAATTGGCTCCCACCTAATAGCAGAAGTACAAGTGTTACCTCGGTTAGTTAACTCATTCCAGTCTATCTGGGAGCCCAACTTCTGACCGCAGTTCTGTTGAATTCAGCTTGTGGTCCAGTGCTTTTTGATCACGTTCATCAGTCAGGGTTTGGTGCTATGCTATAAGCAGCATTTGATAAACCAAAAAGCGATTGTTACTGTTCTGCTGGCATCTGCTGTATAATTTTACAAAACCGCCTAGAGATTGCATTGGCCCCTTTCTGGTGTCTCACCCTGCAGTATCTTGAGCTTTATCTGGGGATTCAAATTCAAAGATGTTATTATGACTTCAAAGACCTTGGTTGCATCGAGAGATGCAATTTAGCTGTTGCCGCACAAATAGGCCACAAATTAGGATTTGAAATTCAATGGAAATTCATTCAGAAATGCCAGATAACTGCATAACAACCACCACATATTGAATCCTAACCCAGAATGTTTCATAGCACAGTTAGAAGACCAGGGTTGGAGACTTTCATTATTTTTAATCCTAATTTTCTGTGGGAAAAGAGTATGTTATGATGATTTTTTTAAAAATGTAAATGCTTAATTTTTCTCCAAGAACCATTTAATTTCTACCAATTGTTCATTTCACCAGCATTTCATTGCATTTTGCAAAGTCATAATTCTGGTCTTCAATTGGCAATCTCATGATCAAAGGGTGTCCCGAGATGAGATGAACTACCTGCTTCTGCTTGGACAACGATAGAGTATAATATCCTCAGATGGGGTCAACTGGTGTAGCACCATTGACTCCAGTGGAGATATGAGGATTTATAGCAGCTGAGGACCCAGTCCTCTTGATATAAATATTATCCTCGAGATTTTATTCGCCTTACTGAGGCAAAACTCCCCCGTGCTACTGCAAAGGAGAAGCCACTGTTATTATGCGTCTACATGTACAGGTAGAACTTCTAACTTCCAAAACACTCTCCAGATCAGATCCTTGAATAGGTCCAAGGGGCACATCGTGCAGGGTAGAAGGGTGTGCGCATAAAGGTGATGTAAAGCTCGTTTTTGCACTTTCCCAGCCCTGGGGCTGCCACATGCCAGGTCAGCTCCCCAGCATGTTAGAGCAGCCTGAAGAAGGTTGTAAATGACATCAGCTGACAACGCCCCCGAGTGACCAGAAGAGCAATGTTGGATCAGCTAATTGGAGGGAAGCCCTGGCCACTTCCCTTTTACGTTGGCCATGCCCCTACGCTAGCTGCAGGGATTGAGGCAGTCTAGTCCCCACTACACTGGCTGTAAACTACTGGAGGATTCCCTTAAATTGGGGTGATTCTACAGAGCTCAGTTACACCAGCTCCGTGGCTAGGTTCCACAGGCAGTAAGGCATAAAACACCCACCCTGCACCCAACCCTCTGAGCCTCCTTGTTCTTCTACCTGTTATTTGTACCGAAAGAAAGAACCAACCATGAGCCAAAGAACCACCAATGACCTCCACTATACACAGTTTAGAAACCCCCAGTATTTTAGTGCTATACATTATTCTGCTAATTTGTGGATAAACATTTTGGGACAGATGACTACACGGTGATCCAAAGGCCTTGCATACACACATACGCACAGGCAAGTCTAATGACTGCCTACACAAGCAGGTACTAAGCATACAGTTACATAATCTGAATGTGCCTATGTCAGTCGTTTGTCCGGGCGGTGCCCGTTTTGAACTGTACCTACTGCAACACACTGAAAGGCATCAGCATAGAGATGTGAACAAAGTCAGGAGAGATGAAGCGTTGAGCAATGAGATCAGTGACTGCACTTGAAGGACAGGTACACCACGATCAAAATTCACACTGGCAGCCACTCTGAGTCTAATTTTATCAGGTGACGAGTGAGTGGTGGTGCAGGGGGAAGGAAAGGAATTAGCTTTTACTGTTTGCTTCTGAGTGACATCGAAAGTGGGTGTAGTGTCTGTCAACACAGGTGAAGCCTGACCTTTCGAAGACTTGAAGATGACCATGGACGACTGAGTTGAAACAAGCCAGGCAACAGGAGTTCCAACTACCAAATTGGTTTCCCTATCTCTCTGCTACACATGCTCACTCTGATGCACGCATGTGCACCCACTCCAACAGCAGCCCTCCCGTGACTCTTTATCACTGCAGAGCTTTATCTAAAAACACACACGCCCTTGTAGAAGTCACTCTGCATGTTAATGCTGGAACCCCTTCCACAATTAGCAACAGTCGCTAGGCAGCTGTTGCTAGGAGACTGGCCCTTGTTTATAGTGCTGAGGGTTTTCTGAACCTGCCAAACAACTTCTTTGGAACCTGTGTATATAAAGCAGAGGCAGGTTTGATTTCAGAGCCACCACTTGCTGTTGTGAAGCTATCCTTCTCCACTCAGTGAGATAAGCAATTCACACTCTACAGCAGTGTGTCTGCTGCTCCATAACGCGATGGTTTGGTTCCTTTAGAAGCTCTCTTTATGGCCCTGCTAGAAGCCAAGTTTTCCAAGCAGAAGGAAGGACAGGGGACAGTGAAAGCTTTGCTGCGGCATTTAGTGTCTGCTGAGCAAAGGTTAGAATTTCCATTACTTTACTTCACTTTAAGATGCGTTTGTTCTCTTTGAAAGAAACAGAACAAAGCGGAAGTTCTGGAGCAATTCTAAAATCAAGGTGGAGATAAAGATACTGACTTATATTGCGCTGATTGGCTTTTCAATCAGCTGTACACATGAGCCAATGGCAGACTAATAGTGTCAAACTATGCACCTACTAGAAACGATCTTCAATATTTTAATGTTCAAAATGAACGCTCTAAGAACTGATCTAAAACACACTGTGGCAACGTCCTTCTGTGCCTGTTCTCTGGGCTGAGTCAAAGCTCACAAGCTTAGCAGCCTGCTTTCACAAGCTAGTCTTCTTCACCTCCTGTCTTAAAAACTGTTGTGTAGTGTTGCAAGCTGCTGTGCATCACACCCCACAAAGGGGCTGAAGTGATCTTTAAATCTAGTTTGTAACGTGGTGTGAAGTCCTTTGGGATGAAAGACACTAAATAAATGCTGGCTGGAGTATTATGGTAGCATCACCTTTTTCTTATGGCTAACGTTCATTGTACTTGTTAGAATCTGTTATAGAGAACCAGAGATTTGTATATCGCTGTATAGACAAACTCGATGAAATTCTCATTTACATCAAGTCCCTTTTATATCCCTTGATATGTAAATGTAAAGACTGAGACCATAAAATAGGAGAAATTACCCTACCAGAGTGGTAGGCACAGAAGAGTAGTACTTTTAGGGTAGGGTGACCAGACAGCAAGTGTGAAAAATTGGGACAGGGGATAGTGGGTAATAGGAGCCTATATAAGACAAACCCCCAAATATCAGGACTGTCCATATAAAATCGGGACATCTGGTCACCCTATTTTAGGGTAAAGATTCAAACTGAGGCAAAGGGATTTGCTCAAGTGATTCCCCTGACCCCTGAGGACACTTGTGAAGACAATTTGTCTCCCAGAAGGCTATGCCAGTGACTGAAGTTAAACCCTGTGCATAATGCTGAGATGAGAACATACCACCCTGTTTCTTTCTCTCCATCCAAAATTTCATGAAATTATTATGCACTTTAGACTAGGGATAGGCTCAAGGCCTAAAATCTGAGTTCTGATTTTGAACACCGCACAACAGTGATGTTTCAGACCTGAGGTTTTGGTTCAAACCCGCTACTGAATAGCCACTCGTGAAATAATAATAATAAATACCTATTATTTAGACAGCACATTTCCATCCTGAGAGCTAATAGCTTTTGGCAAACGTTGGTGAGCATTGTTAGGAGAGCGGATCCGAACATTTTCAGCTGAACAGTTTTCCATTGGAAAACGTGATTTTGTTGACATTGAAACATTTTGCAGGAACATGTTGATTTCAATAAAATTTTGTTATGGAAATGAAGCATTTTGAGGATGTGGAAATGGAATGTTTTGACATTGTCGACATGGCATGTTTCAGTTTTTCATTCTGAAATGACTTTTAGTTTCCATTTTTTTAAAGTTGAAATTGGAGCGAACCAGTCTGATTTTATCAACATGAAATGTTTTGATTGACCCCACGTGAATTTTCTTTTACATTTTATTTCATGGGAGATTTCAAAAAGGTTTGGTTTCATTCCAATTCAACGTGAAAACAAATGCCAAAATAATGGAATTTCCCATTAAACAAAAATTCTGGTTCCTGCCCAGCTGTGATTGTTATCCCCCATTTATAAAGGGGGAGACTGAAGCATAACAAGGCACTGTGATGTGGCCAAGAACACCCAGTGAATCAGTGGCAGTAACTTAACATTCGCCTGCTTTTCCCGCCCACTCACTCCAATAAATCACAGCTTTCCTTTCAGAAGGAACAAGTTTTAGGTAGGTCCATTTTGATGCCTTATTAACTTGGCATTGTCATTCAACCTACCATATATACTTGTTCATTAGCCCATTCATTTATAAGCCGACCCCCCAAGATGGTTAGGTAAAAATAGCAAAAAATGTATGACCCTTTCATAAGCCGACCCTATGTTTCAGGGGTTGGCAAACTTTGGCTCCCAGCTGTCAGGGTAAGCTGCTGGTGGGTCGGGACGTTTTGTGTACTTGGAGCGTCTGCAGGCATGGAGCCCCTCAGCTCCCTGTGGCCGCAGTTTGCCGTTCCCAGCCAATGGGGCTCCATGCCTTCAGATGCTCCAGGTAAACAAAACGACAATGTGTTAGATATTCAATTCAATGATTCCATAGAGTTTAAAATCATCAAATTTTGGTGTAGACCCGTTTATAAGCCGACCCCCTCTCTTCGATGCGTCACTTTTTTACCAGAAATATTCGGCTTATGAACGAGTATATACGGTATGTTATGTTGGTCCTGCCTCTACAATAGAGATTACACAACATACTGTATTTTGCCGTGACATTTATAAGTTTCCTGGAGGAACTGTCTAACACAGTGATCTCCAAAGTGGGGTGCGCGCACCCCAGGGGGTGCGCAAGAGGCTCCTTGGGGTTGCGCGGCAGGAGGAGCACTTTTTTTTTTTTGGCTTCATCAGTTCAGGCGGGAGTCCGAGCAGCTTTTTTTTTTTTTTTGCTTTGGCAAAAATGGTAGAGCCGGCGCGGCAGGGGGTGCGTGCTCGAAATTTTTTTACTGATAGGGGTGCACGATCAAAAAAATTTGGAGACCACTGGTCTAACATTTGCGAATCATAGACTATTACCCTAGCTTGGAAAACCTATTTCCACACCTCTCCCCTTGCTCTAAGCAGTGTCTCAGTTCCTCAAGCCTTGTGAATTAAGCATCCTTTTCTGAAACAGACTCTTTGCTTGCTGCTTTTACTCTAAACCCTTCCTTCTCAAAGACTGGTTACAGGCCTGTCTCACTAAGGTTATTTGGTGTCAGTGCCCTAATGGAAGGTCTCATTTGTTGTCTTCACAGCCATTGCCCAGAACACAAGTGGGCTTCCGTTAGAGAGCTTCCCGGCAGGAAGTCTGTCTTCTATCCTGAGGCTGAACAGCAGGAACCTGCTGACGATGATGGAGGTGGCATGGAAAAAGAAGGCGAAATGCAACTGAAAAATGAAGACACAGCTCCCAGATCCCAAAGCATGGCTCAGGACATAATGAGCAGGACCAGATTGAGGGAGAGCACCCATATAATTGCTGTGGATGTACAGGGCATCCCAAGAACTGGGTCTAATGTTACCAGAGAGGATGAAGTAGAAAGGGGGTTAGATACAGAAACTAGTAAAAACAGAGGACAGTCACCAGCGAGCATGCTGCTGGAGAGTAACCTTACTAAGCCGGACTTGGAAAGCAGTAACTGTGCATGCCCAGTTGGAAATTTGGGTCAGGATAAAGGTTCTGAGAAAGCCCAAGAACCAAAGACAGCGACAAAAGTCGCATCTGAGGCCAGCCAAGCAAACGATAGCAAGGAGAACAGTATAGATCTCAAGCCTTCCCAGATCATCCATGATTTTGGTGTAATTGCTGAAAATGCCCCTTCAAGCTCCAAATTAAATTCCAAGGGGAAAAAGGGAACCAAGTCGATGACAAAAGAAGGAGCTAAGCAGCTGGTTGGATCCTCATCAGCTGATACAGGTGAATCTTGGTGCCTTGGCTCTTAAATGTCAATATCTAGTCATCAGGCCACCTCGTCAGTTGACATAAATACCAATGGAGTTACAGCAATTTACATCAGCTAAAGATCTGATCCATAACCTTGTATGCAAGGTTGTATACAGTTGGTTGCAACTGTATTGTATACAATTGCTACCTCTTATTAACAACACTGAAAACATGGGTGTGTGCCTTGCCTCTAAAACAAAGTACTGTCAGTGGCAAACCTCTAGTGAAACTGAGATAATTTAAATTAAGCTTTTAAGTTGCAAATTGGAAACATGGAGAGAAAAATAAACTCTCCATTAGCAGAAAATTTGGGTGAAGAAAAAACAAATCTCTTCATTAATAGGCAATTTGGCTGAAGTGCCACAACATTTTCAGTGATAAATACAACGATCAGCTTTATCTTCTGATGTTTGCATTGTTAAAAATCACAGATGTATGTATATTAGTTCATTTCAAAGGGAAAAAAATTAATAATGAGATAATCTTCAGGAACATTTTGATCTTTAAGAAAGATGCTTTGACAATTTAGATGGAGTGAATGAGAATTTCAGGTAGGTTTAGGCTCTGGCTCCACAGACAGGGCAGTTAGAAAGCAATCTGTTAGACCACCCTTTCTATGACAGTAGACAAAAGCAGACCCTAGGTTGTCAACTGCTGATGCTTTTTGTTTCTTCTGATAATAAATTTTCAAGAGTATAGAGTGGCAGCATTGTGTGTGTGTCAAGAGCAGAAGCTAAGCTTCGTTATGAGGCGCTTATGCATGGACCTCATCTTGATAGACACAGTTTTAGTTGCCTAGATACTTTTGAAAATCCCACTAGGTGCTTAAATACCTTTAAAAACCTGGCCCTGAGTGACCACAAATTCCCAATTAAGTCAATTAAGCGAAATTCAGAGATGAGTCTAATGATGTCTCAGATTCAGATGGAGTAATTTACTAGGCCCAATTACTCCATTTTAGGCTCCCTTAGTCTTCACTCCCACTTAACTGACAAGTATCTTTTAACCCTTCCGACACGTCTCCTTTGAATCTGCCCCACTGACTCTGAATCTAAGTTACTATAACTCCTAGGATGAAGGGCCAAAAGAAGGGGTGCATAGACTCACCTCTCAGTATTGACTCTCCTCTCAGTGTGTCAGCCAGTCAGCATTGTTCATTGCCAGGATGTCCTGAAGATGACCCTTCAGTGGTGGTTCTTTCTGGGAAGGACAATGTAATGTCCCCATAGCAAGCAGCGCCCTCCAGGTTGGAGATAGGTTGGGTAGAGCGAATTACCAGCTCTATTCCAGTGTTGCCCCTATTCTGGAACCCATGGTTCTGTATCCTGGAGCTGACATGGAATCATAGAAGATTAGGGTTGGAAGAGACCTCAGAAGGTCACCTAGTCCAACCCCCTGCTCAAACAGGACCACCCAAAATGCATGTGTCTGTCAGAGGAGCTTGCCTGAATACTCCTGGATCACCATAGTGGTCTAATGGTTGGCGGAGGATGGTATGAACCAGTACATTAAGGGCCTGATACCAAACCCATTGAAGTCAACGGAAGTCTTTCCACTAACGTTCAGTGGGCTTTGGATCAGGTCCTAATGCAGGGGAGTAAGAGATCCGGATTCTAGTCCCTGCGCTCTATGACCTCTCTGACACTCTATGACACTGGACAAGTTACTTTACCTCTCTGTGCCTCAGTTTCTCATGTGCCAGTATTAGTATTACTGTGAGTCATCCCAAAATAGACATTAGATCCTTTGAGGCCTCCTAAACTGTAGACAACATTTGTGCAGCTATTTGTTTATGCTCACTTTTAAATTCACTTTTGCACAGGATTCTGTGTGTTCAAAGTTGGTAACGGCAGGCAAAGTATCATTTTAGATGCACAAATATGGGATTCAGCGCATGCAGATAGATGCCCATGAAGATTTGCAAGGCACAATTCAGAAGACTCATTTGGTATTTTGGTTCCAGTGGGGTTGCATGGGGGAAAGCAAGACCTGAATTTGGCCCCTCTGCTGTGGATGGGGTTTTTAATTAATAACTTGGATAGACTGGAGGATGTGTTTCATTATCCTCTCTTTAATAATTAGCTATCCAGAGATGCAAATCACACAAATAAATGCAAGGTAAAAGGACTTATGATTAAACGTTATATGTCAAAAGATTCAAAGAGCAGGAGAGTTCATCTGTAATCTTTGTACGGAGACCCGGGGGATGGGCCACTTTGATCTTCTTTCTCTGTGTAATTATGGAATCTCCCAGTATTAAACAGAGACAGGTACGTGTTCAGCCTAATGGAAGAGTCTCCTTATCAACACGTCAATCGCTGCAGTTTATTTCATGAGTTCATGTCTCAGGATAAATGGGATTGTTCAAAATTGGTTAATTTCTTAGCAACCTAGCAAGGAGGATAAAAGAGCAAACAGCTCTAGAGAGAGCAGGAGTGAATAACTGAATGTTAAAAATAGACCTATAAATATTTAGATCCCCATTTCAAAGTGTAACAGTAACCGTGCTATAAAACTGCGGAGAGAAGAGACCAGCTTTCGTGCTGGACGCCATTGCTAACTAGCTGTGAAAACAGATGTGTCTTGCTATGAACATCTTTTCACTCACTCCTCATCAGCACTACTGACTAGCTCCCCATATTACTCCTGCTGATAATGCTTCCCCTCCCCCTGCTCTTGACCCATACTACCAGTCATGTTCTGCACACCCACGCTGCTCAGGTAACGCTCCCCACATGGACTCAGGTCCTGTGGTGAGGGGTATCATAGAAAGATAGGAAAGATTAAATATATAGCTAAGAGTGAGAAGATGCCACAGACTTTCTGTGTGACCTTGGGCAAGTCCCTTTAACCTCTCTGGGCCTCAGTTCCCCATTGTAAAATGAAGATAACAGCATTGCCCTATCTCACAGAGGTGTTGTGAGGATAAACACATTAAAGATTGCAAGGCTCTGGTATGAGAGCCAGATACAATTGTTGTATCCATCTCTCTCCGTTATTTACTTCTCTATTGATCACATTCCCCACCTCACAGCAGCCATTTGAATTTGGTATTTTTGGTGTTATTAGCTGAAATAATAAAGGGCTGGGGAAAACATGTCCCCTTCCCTCCCCCCCCCCCCCGTCTTCCCTCCACTCAACTGTTAACACCTATAGATATCCTGGATATCAGAGACTGGGTGCTAGAGATGACCTCATTTGAGCTTCCTAGAATTAATGATTAGACTAAATGTAATTCCCTGTGGTAACAGTTTATTCGCTTCACTAAGGAGGACGAAAATTGACATCGTAGAGGTGTCTACATTTAGAGAGTGTTCTGCAGTCGTCGTTGCAGTATTTTTGTATTATGTAGTGTTCTGTAATTGCACGTGTTTGTATTTTTGAAAAACGAAATGAAATTATTTTTTTTAAAAAAGAGAAGAACGAGAAGAGAGTTTTAGGCAGAAAGCCAGGAAACGCACTCTGTACTGTTATTATAGTCCCAATCACGGGCCAGGGTTCCATGGTGGCAGGGGCTGTATAAACAAGCAATACAAATAAGGGTAAATAAAAAAGACCGTCCCTGCCCCATAGAGTTTATACTGAGGAAGTAACACACTTTGCTAAGTGGGCGAAGGTAGCAGGCAAACACTAATAAAATAACCCTCAACACAATTTATTGTAGACTGAATGTGTAGATGACGCCTATGACACGCACATTACAATGCAGGTAAATACTTATAAAATATTTCAATGAGCAAAATCTTGGCCCCATAGAAGTCAATGTCAAACTGCCATTGGCTTCACTGGAGTTAGGATTTCACCTGTGAACACAAATAAATTGCAATGCACCATAAATTAGAAATATGGTAGAACAGGTAGCATGGGAGAACAGTCCAAATGGCTGACAGAGAATCTGGGGTCTCCGTAGTCTGCCTGCTTCCTGCTTCGTTTTTCACTTTGGGGCCCATTCCTGCTTCCACTTAAGATAATGGGAGTTTTGTTTCTGCCTTTCATAGGGGTGGAATTATGTCTCTCTGCTCCTTTGCCCCTGTACTATCTAGGCCAGATCCTGAGTGAGTGTCAACTGATATAACTTGGTTGGCTTCAGTGGAGCTCCTCTAATTACCCTCGCCCAGGATCTGGCCCTCTGTATTTGATTTTTACTCTGCCCGATTCTCAGTTCTGTTTTTTCCATCGCATGTTTCCTGCGGATGCTTTTCTTCTTCTCCCTTCTGCTCCTTTGTTCATAGCAAAACATGAACCCCTGAGATCAAGTTGAACTTTCCAACCCACCATGACCAAGGGAGTTTGAAATTTGGCCAAACGAGTTTGCCCATCCCCATTGATGATACATTTCAGGAAGTGCCAATTAAACAAAGTTTCATCCAACTTCCATTAATGTCAACTAGAATTTTTCCATCAACTCCAGTGAGAGTTGGATCAGACCCAAAGACGGCAGCAGTTCTAGCGTTGTCTGAAAGCACATGATCTTTGGCCTCATGAATCATCAGAAATAATGTGAAGGGATACAGTGCAGCCGAATACCTCCTGCTTTACAGTAAATGGAAGCAATGTCCACTCAGTCAGAGCATGTTATTGGCTGAGAACCTCATATCTGTTTTGTTTATTGGAAGCTTCGTTAGTATAACTTTTTCACAAAATCATCTCTTCTTCTGTTTAAAAAATGCTACTGATTAATCAGGAACTTTGTAGTCAAATAATGCAGCGTGGGTTAATTGGTGGGTATCCATGTTCCACTTGGTATTGCAAGAAGACGAAAAGGTGTATGCACACATATTGATTTGTATTTATCTGTAGATTAGAACTCCATAAACATGATAAAAACTTCTGCACGGACATTTTCCCTTTTCACTTTGGGCTGTTTCATGACCCAGGAATTTTGCTAGTCACAGAATCTCAAATGTTGCTCTGAACATTCAGTGGAAAAAACTCTGCTACAGATGTAATAGCCCATCTGCATCCATAGATTA